AAAATGTTATGAACACGGTCCCATTCTAGGGTTGCCAAGTAATTCTTCGCTGGGAGCGGGGGGCTCCCGGCCGGCGTCGGGTGAGTGTGCGCGCGCATGTCACACGGAAGTGACGTAGGCACGCTGGGCACTCATAGAGTTTTCCCTTGTATGGCCATGGCCCCGTCCCCAGCGTGCCCACGTCACTTCCTAGTGACGCGCATGCCAGGGGGCGGGGTTCCCCCCGGGGCCCGATTCTGCCACGGTGGAAATCGGGCCTGCAAAGCGGGGGTTTCCCTGCCCCCCGGCCCGATTTGGCAGCCCTATCCCATTGTCACATAAATAACAAAATATTTCATAGCTGTTTCTGCTATTTAATAAGTAAACAATGATTCATAATAACATTAATTCTGTAATTCCTCAAAGTAATAGATACCACACAGAGACTGCTTAGCTCACAGAAAACAGAAGGCGAAATTCCCTCTGTAGTCTTATCATTTCAGAACATTATGAACATAGCCCAATGTTCCGTAAATTTATTTGAAATATCAAAAGTTTCTTAATGCTCTTTGGTGATACGTTAATTTATTAAGCAACACATACTCCCAGTCAGAATTCAACCAGTTTCTTGGAGCTGGAGGGTATGGTTTTTTATAACTGCTTATTATTTGTATAAACAATAATAATTTTAAAAGAGCTGTATTTTGTGATGTTTCAGAGACTTATCTTTCAGTTTTCACCCACTAAAGCACGTGATCATTTGAGGTTTGGCCAAGCAATTATGGGAGGGAGTGCACAAAACAGCCCAACCTAAGTAAATGTAGTCCATGTCAATAAGTGTACTCTGTATTGGTCAAATGGTAGAGTATTGCCTGCAGACTTTTATTTATATTTTGTAAATAAAAGGGGTAGGAAAATAAATACACATTGATGGGGTCTGAATACACATTGATGGGGTCTGAACTGGTTTGTTAACCACAGTTAGTCTTAAATACGGTTCTGCATTCTGTACAAACATGGACATCGTAGCTTACTCCTGGCTAGGGACATATGAACACCTGCCAGTTTGGCTCATGCTCTGTTCACTGATCACAAGCAGGGACGATTTTTCGAGGACTGGTTCAGTAAGTCATCAATCTGTTTGCCGGTATTCAACATGTTGCTTCACTGTATTTATTCCTAGCCATGCATTGCGACTGAGGGGTGACATGATTGAGGTTTATAAGATTATGCATGGGAAAGAGCAGGTAGAGAAAGAGGTACTTTTCTCCCTTTCTCACAATACAAGAACTCGTGGGCACTCCATGAAACTGCAGAGCGGTCGGGTTAGAACGGATAAAAGGAAGTACTTCTTCACCCAAAGAGTGATTAACACATGGAATTCACTGCCACAGGAAGTGGTGGCGGCTACAAGCATGGACGGCTTCAAAAGGGAATTAGATAAGCATATGGAGCAGAGGTCCATCAGTGGCTATTAGTCACAGGCCTTTGGCCTGATCCAACATTGGCATCTCTTATGTTCTTATGTTTCTCTCAACTGCTCTCAGCACAGCTTTCACTTCACTCTCTAAAATTGCAGGTTCTTCTTCAAAAGCAGGTGCTTCTTTAAACTCCACTGTTCAGATAAATAGTTATTTCAGCAAATATATCACCCCTTGCTCTCCCTGGGCCTGATCCAGAAACCATTTCTGCCTGGTCTGATATTCTTTATGATAAAAAGTGAATGGGAATGGGTGCATACACACACACAGCGAGCCTCAGTTCAGAGAAGTCTGAGGTACTGCTGGCTCGTGACGTAGCTGATTGAGGATTTGACTGATTCTAGCTGAAGAAGAAGAAGAGCAGCTTACAATTGTCTTCACTTCCTCTCCCTACAACAGACACCCTGTGAGGTAGACGAGGCTGAGAGAGTTCTGAGAGAACTGTGACTGACCCAAGGTCACCCACCTGGCTGCATGTGGAGAAGTGGGGAATCAAACCTGGTTCTCCAGATTAGAGTCTGCAGTTCTTAACCATTACACCAAACTGCATGCTTCCTATAAGACCAAGTAAGAAGCATAAAGGAGCTCTTACATCCAACCAGGCAGATGGATATCCAAGTGTAGCCTGGGGACGAAACACCTTTAAACACCTTAGTTTTGTTTTAACTGCAACCCTTACTGGAAAAACCAATTATCCATACTCTGGTTACATTCTAGTTAGATTACTGTAATTGTGCTTTGCATGGGTTTTGCTTATGAAGACTCTTCAGAAACTACAGCTGGGTACCGATCATATGCAGAATTAGCTGCACAATAGGCATGGATGCCAGGCGGATTTTAAGGGTGCGATCACGGGAACATCTGGCAAGCGTCCCGCACCCATCGGCAACCCGTCTCACTCCGCCGAAGAAGCGGAGTTAAAAAATACCGAGGAAAGTCCAGTATCAAACGGGTTGCTACGGGCCACAGATGGACTTTCCCCTGTTTGATCGCTCCAGTGCGCTCTCATGGCGTTGGGATGGTCTGATCAGGGCATCCTGACCCGTTGTTTTTTCCCCCTTCTCAGTATGCGCATCATTGCATACTGCAGTAGGAAGCCCTCAGTGTGGAGATGCGATTCATTGATCCTCCGTTTAAGCGAATCAAAAACAAACAGCAAAAAACCCCAACCCAACTCACCCGTGATTGCATCTGATCACACAGTGGCGGGCTATGCCTGCAGCTTCAAAGAACTATGTGATCACGCAACTGCAAGTCAATTTCCTCTGGGTTAAATAGCCTCGCTTCCCCCGCACATTATCTCACGTTATCTCATGCGTGTGACTGGGACCTTGGTCTAGAATGCTGCTACTTATCTCATGCGTGTTACTGGGACCTTGGTCTAGAATGCTGCTACAAAGCTGTTGAGTGGGAAAGACAGAAGGGAACTTACTGTGACATTGGCTACCAGTCTGTTTCCAGGCACAATAAAAAATGCTGGTTCTTGCATTAAAGCCCTCAATGGCCTGAGAAGAGTATTCGAAGGCCTATTTTTCCCCATGCAAACCTGCACAAAGATCTTCTTCAGAGGCCTTCCTCTGTGCATCCCACCTTCACTGGCTGCCTAAAAGGAATATGACATTCTTTGCTGGAGAATCTCACCTGTGGAAGCTCCTACCTATATTCATTCACCTAGCACCTATGGAGTTTTTACACAGGTAATAGGGTTGTACTGAAATGAAGTGGTTCAGAAAGATGCTTTGGTAAAGGGACAATGATAGTGGACTATAATACTGTGTACTGTCACTACGTGTGCTCCTGTTATGTCTGCATTATTTAATGTGCCATGTTTAAATGCTTATGCCTTGTTTCAGCGCCATTTCAGATTTCAGCGTGTTTTTTAGATTTCTACATCTGCAGTCCAAACTTTACTTATTGTTTATTAGCTGTTGATCATATTGATTTATATGCTGTAATCTGCCTTGAGTCTGAGAAAGGCAGGCTATAAATAATGTAAATAAATAAATAGGTGCTGAATAACAACTGTTTTGTTTATCTAGGTAGCATATTTTATTCTTTCCCCACCATTTCTGATTATTTTTGCTTTTAATCTCTTTTGAATTTTTAGCAGTTTTATATTTGTAAAATTGTTATAGGCTGCTGGGCGGCCTTGAGAACCCTGTGGTCGGTAGGCCAGATATAAATATTTTGAATACATTATAGAAAGGATAATAAATACAGGATTTCATGGAACTCTCTCATGAATCGACTATTTAACAAACATATAATGTGCAAAACTAAGGCAAATCCCTTGACCCAAATGCCTAGTTAGGGCCAGTTTGTTCTCAAGGGTAAATCTGTTTCAGGACTGTACTACTCAGGCAGCAAGTGAGAGGGTGTTTTTCATATTTCAGTTGGCTTCTGTTAAAAATGATGCACATACAATCACATTATACAGAGACAGCTAGGCTGAATCCTTTCTGTAATGGTGTGGGTTGGGTTTTCTTTTAATGTGAAGGATTTTTCTGTACAGGGAAACATTGAAGCTTATAGCCTACAGTCACACTATCCCCTCTACAGCTTGACTGCTTGATTCTGCTTGAATGGATCTTGTGTTATCACAAACTATGGGTGACACAAAGTTTGCTCTGAGAGGACCTTGTATAAAAGAGGTTGATAGAACGAAAGCCACTGTAAGAACAGCTTTCCAGACCGGGAGAAAGGAAACAAGAGGTTTCTTCACTAAACAGAGACCAGACAGTTTCCCACCCAAAAGTAACAATGTGGAAAAACTGTGCTTGATCTTGTGGGGAAACAGTGGGGCAAGATGCCTGCCTGTCCCTTATCCACTTCCACCTCTGTCCTCAAGCCATTCACTGGAGAGAGAGAAAAAATCACTTGAAGCAGTTAATTACCCTTTTAATAGACTTTGACCGCCCTTTTGTACTCACCCTCGAGGTGGTTAAGAAGGGCGCGTTGTTTGTTCCCTATGCTTTCAATGCCTGTTTATTTGTGGTGGGAGAAGGCATTCGGATCCACTCTGCGACTGTGGGGATGGCACTTGTGTGACGATACGAAGTGGGCTTGCGAACGCGCACCGCCAAGTTATGAGAAGCAGTTTCCATGGGTGGGACGGATACAATTACCGAGGGGAGGGGAGGGGAGGGGGGAAGGATCCGTCTTTCTCCTCGACTTTGGAAAACATTCGGTGCGTCTCGTCTTGGCTCTGACCGACCGAGCCGCGAGCCAAAGCGCGCGGGGGAGGGGGGCTTGGCGCGCGGGAGGCGGGGCCTGGGCCGGGGCGCAACGAACGGAGCCGGAGCTGGGAAGGGGCGGGGAGTGGGCAGGGCGCGCCCACCCAGGGGGAGGGTCCGGGGGGAAGGCGAGCGGAGGCGCGGCAGAGCCTTCAGCTCAGCTGCCCGGAGAGGCCCGGGGGTAGCGGTCCCAGCTCCGGCTCTGCCTTGTCCCGGCCGGGCGGCGGTAGGAGGATGCCGAGTCCAGCGGCCAGCCCCAGCTCCACCGCGCCTGCCGCCGCCGCCGCGCCCGGGCCACGCGGACGATGTGGCTGCGCCGGGTTCCGCTAGGGACAAGCAGGGATGAGTAGGTGAGTTGAGTGGCGGCCGAGCGCAACTCGAGACCGGACCTTTGGGGCTGGGGAGGGGCCGAGGGCTGGGCTGGCTTGGACCTGGGGCTGGCGGTCGCGGGGGCGCCCAGCCTCGGGGAGAGGGGCGATTATTTTCCTCGCCCCAGCCGATGGCCCGACCCGAGGAGTCCCTGGCTAGGGAGCGGGCCGCTGGCTGGGGGACGGGGGGCTGCTGGAGGGTGCATCCAGCGGGGAAGGGGGCTAGCCGGCTTGCAGGGGCGCCCTGGGCTCGAGGAGGGAGGAACTTGGGGGAACTTTCCCTTTGCTGCCGAGCTCTGGGACTGGAGGGCTGAATTGCGGAGGGAGACGGACAAAGCTGTGCGCTGCGCTGCACGGGAGGGGGGGGGGGGGGCCGCGGCGGCGGCGGCGGGGAGGAGACTCTCTCTCTGCACACACACTCTCCCTTTCCTTCTGACAGGGTTGCTCAAATCTTCTTAATTGAAAGCCCGACCGCTATTTGGTGGGGCTGTCGCTGCTGCCACCCCCTGGAAGCCCCCCTGGGGCACCTCCTCATTAGCCCTGATTTTCGAAATGCTGCTCATGCTGTATTAGTCCAGGGAGGGAAGGAGGCAGGGAGGGGGGGATGTTCCCTGGCGGGTGGCATAGTCAGCATTTGGGGTTGAGTCCTTTTAGGGAGGGGGGGTGGCCGTCGGGTCTTTTGCAGAGCAATGCAAAGGTTGCAGAGGCTGGAAGCAATCCGGATGGCACGGCCGGTGCTCAGTGAGTGCTGCGTCCCACGGGGAGGTGTTGTGCGTGGAAGAGGAGTTTGCACGGCGAGGTGCCGAGCGGGGGGAAAGCTCGGAAAGAGAGAGGCGCAAGTTACAGTGTTCGCGGATTGTGCAGGGAGGGAGGGACTGTTCACGAGTGCGATGTAGTTGCATTCTCTCCTGGAGGGCGGTGTGTGTGTGTGTGTGTAAATAGAAAATATGATCTGGTTCTTTCTGTGCGTGTTCATGCAGTTCCGACTTGCACAGCGGTTGCCGAACATGGGTATGTTTGGGGGCCGCAGAAAAACCCGCGCCCTTTGTTTGGATGCTGTGTCTGCAGTGACCCCTGGGGCGAGAGAAGCAGCCATCTCTGGAGGAATTTTGATTCAGCGTGGCAGTGGCTGGTCCCTTTTTCTTTGCCACTGCCCGGGGTCTCTATCTTGCTCGCGGGAGGGGGAGGGAGTTGAAAGTGGGAGCTTCCCTCACCGCGCATGCGCTCCCTATTGATTGCCTCTGCAAATCTCCTCAGGTTGTGCGGGGCTCGTTGGCTGTCAGTCAGCTCAACTTGCACGGAGCGCCGTGCAGAGTGGATTCAAACAATGTCAGGTTCAGCCTGCCTCTCTCTCATCATCCATGACATTACTTTGCACACTCTCGCAGTGCAGCCGGAGGCAGTTAGGGAGGTTGGGGCAGGAGAGGAAAGGGGGGGGGGAGCCGGGCTGAACAGAGGTTTACTGGCTCTCTCCAGCCTCAGCCGACACCCTTCAAGAATGTGATCTGGAAGGCCTCCTAGCTCAAACATGTAGACACAGTGCAGGTGTTAAGCAGGCTGTCAGACAGGTGATCTCTGTGGAATCCCTAAGGGCAAGCTTGAGCCCCTCTGGATCCATCAGTGCTCATGCCTGTTTGCTGGACACTCTTGCGAACATGAGGTCCTGACATTGCAGCAAACAGAAGGGGTTGGTTGTTTCTAGGCTGGTCATGGATGCACTGTTGCCACGGCAGAACTGTGCCCGGAATCCTACACAGGATGCTGTTGTTCTACCTGTTCTGTACTGTTCAGTTTTTCTTGGGGAAGAGCACAAGCTCATGATCCATAAGGAGGTTGGCTTTCAAAACAATGACAATGATCAGCTCTGGTTACTTAAGATGCTCTCTCCCTCCTGCACCTTCTCTATCAGAACAACACACTGTCCGAAAAGGTATGCTT